TTAAGCTACTTTGTTGTGACTTATTTAGCTGATCTACTAAATCTTCTACTTTATCTTCAAGCTTCTGCTTGGTTAAATGCAAATCAATGAGGCTCTGTGCACTCTAACTTCTCCTTCTGCACATGCAACTCTTTGGATAGGTTCATTTTATCATCCTCAAGTTGATGAACTCTCTTTTTTTCATCATCTAGATCTTGTTTCAATTTCTGGATGACAAGGTCTCCTTCTTTTTCTTGTTTTGATAGCTCATCTTTTATCAAAATCATGTGCTTTGTAGCTTCCTGATTCTGATGGTCCAGTTCTTCTAACTCAGCTATCAGCATTTTCTTTTCATGGATACTCTGATTCAGTTCTTCCTCCTTTGCCTTCAAGTGAAGTTTTAAGTCATGTAATTGGACACTCACATTCATGTCTGTTGAAGCTGTGTTTTTAATTACTTGAGAGTCACAGCTCAATTTTGACAGTGTTATCTGAAGTTCCTCCTTTTCTTGACTCAATGATGACTTCTCTTTTTCTAAAGCTTCCACATGCATTTTAAGTTTCAGATTGTCTTCAGCAAGGCTCTGGTCCTGGTTGAAATCATTTAGTCTCATTATTTCCTTTTCAGCATCAGACAGGGTGCTCGTTGTAGCCTCAACACTTCTTCCATTGATGAAGAATTTTGTGGAAGGATTGTTCCCTTTTCTGCCACAGTAGCACTCTGCTCCAAAACTGACACTTCATGCTGATGATCATCTATGTCTGGACTTGGGTTTCATTCAAGAGTCTTGATAGTATTTTGCAGTTTGAAGATTTCACTGGGGTCAGAATTCTGTGTTCCCTGAGCCTCAGCAACATGCCTCGAATGGCCAACTTTAGATTCAAGTCTCGAAACTTCAATTGACAATCTGTTTATTTCTTGGTGGGACGAAATTAGGTCACTAAAGTCCTTGTCATCATCAGAAAAGGCTGAAAAATCACTACTGATCTGGGAACCGAATGGACCCAGTGCAGTGGTTGTTGGTACACCACAAGCTCCTGAACCTACCCATTGAGCAGCTTCCTGGAGGTTGAACACTTGATCTTGCAGTGCCATCTGTCTACCTTTCAGATGGCTGATCTCTACCTCCTTCTGTTGCAGTTGATTTCCATAACTTGGACACTGAGGATTTATTTGCAGTTCTGATGCTTCATGTTTTTCCTCCAGATCAGTACAATACTTTTGAAGTCTTTCATTCTCCGATCTTAGTGGAGAATTACTAGCTTCCATTTCCTTTCTCCGACAATCAGGTAAACCTGCTGCTATGTCTCCTATGTCATCCAGAAGCATTCCCCTGGTGAAGTTGCATACATGGTCGGTGAGGGAAGGCAAGCTGCTTCCCACCTGACCCAAGAAGTTGCCCAAGCCTGAGCCCAGGCCTCCAAACCAGGACGACATCGCCGCCACTTTAGTGAGCCAGCGGACCAGCTCCAAAACCGCGTCCAGCACCATCCACTTCTCTCCCCAGAACGTCCTCAAACGTTGACTCCAGCAAGAGCTCAGAATTCCGAGAATCGCGGGGCTCCGCCAACACCAACTGTCTTGTTCTGCCGGTAAAAGCAGAGGCCTGTCATGGTCTTTGACCAGGGACTGGCAGCCAGTGGCACAGTCACCCCTCATGCCCCACCCCCCAGGGGCCTCTGCTTCTTCCCTGGACTTTCCTGTCAGCTATTTGCTCCCAGGATTGGGGAGGGCTGGCTGGGAGGAGCTAGAGATACAGGAAAGTGTTCTAGTCTGAGTCCAAAGGCAGTGTGCTCCGGAACCACCAAGAATCAATGTTGTAGA